GCGTCCCTCTCGCGGGCCGCCAAAAGCTCGGACTCAAAATTAGAAGCCTTTTCATGAGCTGCCACAAGTTCACCCTCCCAGAGCACGTCCCTCTCACGGGTCACCAAAAGCTCAGAATCAAGCTCGACAATCCTCTCCTGAGCGGTAATAAGCTCCCTCTGCACAAGGCTAAGATCCAGCTTTAGTTTGTCTTGATTATAGGCCCTCGAAAGCAAGCAGATGGAGGAAGTCGAAACCTAAAAAAAAAAGACAAGAGATTAAGAAAAGTCAAAAACACAGGAAACGACTGGAGAAAGGGAATTAGCAGACCCTTACCTGAGCCAGATCTTCCAAATACGTGTTGACGATATTATCAGTGCCCGAAGCGCTAAGCTCAAAAACTTCTGGCCCAAACACAAACCTGCCAAGCCTTGCCCTGATAGCTGCCGGTCTCCCCATCATAGGACCAGCCCAAATCGGCACTTGGGTAGAAGTTCCTGAACAAGGAGGAGACAAAGGAGGGGTAGCACGAGGAGAGGATAAAGGTGGAACAGATGTGCCTAGCAAGGAAGATTCTGGAGTAGCAGCTAGAGAAGTTACCAGTTGAGAAGGAGCCACCGTGGGAGTCACATGGGGGGCATCATCCGTCCTTGCCACTTTGGAAGAAGGAGGGCTCCTTGCCACTTTGGAAGAAGGAGGGCTCCTATTAGAAAAGCGGGACACCACCACCCTTTTACTTGCTGCAAGAGTAGAGAAGGGTTAGATAAAAAAAAAAAAAAAGAAGGAGAGGAAACTAGTTCACCCCTTTTCTTCGAAGAGGAGCCGCCAGATTTCTAAGATGGAGCAATAGCTCTAGTATACTTGGGCAGGAGAACTCCCAAATCTTTACAAGGGCAAGCTTTGACAGCCTCCAATTTCCACTCTTGGTNTTAGCAGACCCTTACCTGAGCCAGATCTTCCAAATACGTGTTGACGATATTATCAGTGCCCGAAGCGCTAAGCTCAAAAACTTCTGGCCCAAACACAAACCTGCCAAGCCTTGCCCTGATAGCTGCCGGTCTCCCCATCATAGGACCAGCCCAAATCGGCACTTGGGTAGAAGTTCCTGAACAAGGAGGAGACAAAGGAGGGGTAGCACGAGGAGAGGATAAAGGTGGAACAGATGTGCCTAGCAAGGAAGATTCTGGAGTAGCAGCTAGAGAAGTTACCAGTTGAGAAGGAGCCACCGTGGGAGTCACATGGGGGGCATCATCCGTCCTTGCCACTTTGGAAGAAGGAGGGCTCCTTGCCACTTTGGAAGAAGGAGGGCTCCTATTAGAAAAGCGGGACACCACCACCCTTTTACTTGCTGCAAGAGTAGAGAAGGGTTAGATAAAAAAAAAAAAAAAGAAGGAGAGGAAACTAGTTCACCCCTTTTCTTCGAAGAGGAGCCGCCAGATTTCTAAGATGGAGCAATAGCTCTAGTATACTTGGGCAGGAGAACTCCCAAATCTTTACAAGGGCAAGCTTTGACAGCCTCCAATTTCCACTCTTGGTCCCGAGAAAGCACAGGTATATCTGCATAGAAAAAGTGAGCACACACGCATAAAAAAAAAAAAAGGAAAAAGAAGAAGTGTGCAGCATACCGGATTTTTTAGCAGCACCCCAATGTGTTGGCACCAAAGCTCTGTCGGTTTCTGAAGCCCATTCTCCACCAATAAAGAAGAAATAAGATTTTCAGCCGCCGCAATTAGAGCGCGTTCCTGTAAGCACTGTACCACTCCGTGCGGTAAAATAGTACCATCCNATCGCCGTAATTAGAGCGCGTTCCTATAAGCACTGTACCACTCCGCGCGGTAAAATAGTACCATCCCTTATTTGGTGTAGGGATTTCGCTCAAATTATATGCTGCATGAAACTCCATAGGGGAAGCATCCTCGTGGTGCACCTTTCTCCATAATGCAAGAAAATCGAGCAGGACTCTCCAACCGTTGGGCGCTAGTCGCCCCGGAGTCAAGGAAAAATAATGCAAAACACGACAAATGGGGGAGGACATGGGAAATCTTAACCCAGCCTCAAGTATCTCCTCGTAGACAACAATATCCCCGAAAGATTCATCGCAAGCAAGCTCGCCCAACTCAGCCCGACGGCACAACACGGTCGGAGGGATGCGATAAGTAAAAACAAGCCTTGAAATATCTTCATCTAAGCGGAACAAACTAGAAAGGGTGCTCACCTTAGACCCGTCATCATCAAGTCCCACTTTGCTTTTGCGTTTCTTCTTCCGGGGCCTTAAGGAGTAGTCCAAATCACCATTGGGAGAGTCTTGAGGAACTTGAATCGAGAGAGCTACAATAGGGGCTTGATCACCAAGAGCAGAACCCAAAGCTTCCTTACTACTTGCAATGTCTAGCCCAACGCCTGGAAGAGTGCCTGACTGTTGTTGCTCGTCAAAACAAAGTTGCCCAGTAGCTTGAAGGGTGCCTGGCCCTTCAAAAATGCGCAAATCAGAATTTTTGGCGCAAAAATCAGCACCTAAGGCGCCCAAATCAGGGCCTCGAGTGGGAATCGGATCAGCCCGTGCTCCCAGGCCACTGCCTAGCTCTCCCTGATGAACCTTGGACTGATTTTCAGCGCCTCTTGATGGAAAAATACTGCTGCCCAGCGTTCCAAAGCCGCCCAGCGCAGCAGAACTGAAGTTGTCCAGCGCAGCTGAGCTGTCCGGGACAGCAGAAGCAGCAGCCAGGCTGCTGCCCAGCGCACCTGGGCTGTCTAGGATAGCAAGGCCAGCGCACAGGCAGCTGCCCAGCACGCCTGGGCTGTCTAGGACAAGAGGAGCAGAGCCCAGGCAGCCGCCCAGACCCCACCGCGCATGCACAAGCTGCCCAGCTACGCGCCCAGCCGTTTCCCTTCTCTGCCCAAGCCACTCCTCGCACTGCCCATCTCCCCTTCGCTGTCCACCCCTTCATTTACAGCCCCAAAGCTGTCCAAGACAGCATTCGAATGCTCAAAACTAGCCTTCAAGTTCTCCAAAATGGTGTCTACTTCTTCCCTTTCTTCAACCTCCACCACTCCCTCTTCAATCGACATTGTTTACTTGAGAAGCTCAACTACCAAGGAAGAAATCACACTCTTGAAAGGATTCAAGGAGAACACATTTTGGCTTCAACAAAATGGGTAGGACTTGAGTTCTCAAGATTTTCAAGAGGTGGGTTCTCAACCTTAAAAATGAGTGAAATGGGTAACATGAAGAAGAAGACTATATTTATAGTCTAGGGTTTTTCAAAAAGAGAAAAAAAGCCCAAATAGAAAATTATGGGCCCTTTTCAAAATAAAGTGGCCAAATAGAAAGTTATAAGTCCTTTTCAAAATAAAAAGGCCAAATAGAATATTATGGGCCCTCTTCAAAATAAAGTGGGAAAGACTTGAAGTTTAAAAAAAAATTAATAATAATAATAATATAGTCAATGCCTCCTTCTCCAAGTCTCATTGGACATGGGGCATTGGGGGGCAAATGATGGGTTAAGCCCAAATAGTCCAATTTATGTGTTAAAGTCCAACCCTACTTGAGGAGCCCAACCTCATTTTGAATCCACCAAACCCAAGACAGTCCAAGACCGGTTAGACTTTTTGCTTAGCACGTCATCAAGAGGAGAGCATAAGAAGCTTATCAGCACCACCGAAGGAAACGGTCCAAGCTTTGACTGCGTTTCATGAAGAGCTCCCCAACCTCCTCCTTCCGTTGAGGATAAGTGGTGATCTCCACCAGAATGATCTTTTAGTGCTATAAAGTAGCCTTGAGGATAAGTCACGATCTCCACCAGAATGATCTCTTAGCTGCGATAAAGTAGCCTTGAGGATAAGTCATGATCTCCACAAGAATGATCTCTTAGTTGCTATAAAGTAGCCTCAATCTGTGAGAAGAAAAAATATAAATGGCATGCCCCACCAACACTTACAGAGAACAGACCGACGACCGGAGACCACTGCTTCTTTGATTCTCCTTTCTCTCAAAGCTTGTATCTCTATTCTCCATACCTTTGAATTAATAAAATACTCGGCAATTGAAGCCATTGAAGAGTGGACGTAGGTCGAATTGACCGAACCACTATAAATCGTGTCTTCTTTAATTTTCTCATTGATTTCACTGCATTTATTACCTACACTTGACAGGTGGTGTGCAAAACCATTTTTGTGCATCATCA